TGCGTCGCAATGTAGTTATTTAGAATCAGAATATGTGTTTATACTGGAGGAATCCGATGAGCTATGAAGCTCTTTTTCAGACGCCCAGTGACTCCATTTACCCCCTAGCTTCACATTACATTCCACTATACTCCCCTCGATAGAACTCCTCGTTGCGAGCTTTACAAATTTACTCAAATCTGTCCCCTTCCCCCCTCCTGGATATCCGGAAAAGACCATCAACTGGGATAATCTTCATCCTTACGGTTCTAAACAAATCCGATAATTACCTAAATGACCACTTAGGTTCCCTCTAACTCCCTCGCCTAGCCCCAGAAGTGCCTACTTATTCCTCCTAAAATATCAATTTGCTGAAACCGTTGCTATAAAAAGTTCTGCCCGCGTTGCTGCTTCACATTTGTTGAATCCCCGTGCCGCTCATCTCCAGCTTGGTATTCTCCCTTCACTCCCCCACTTTATTTCCCAATTAGGCCAAAGCACAGAGCAACAATTTCCTTCTGCAGATAACTTTTTTTTTATTATTATTCTGACACCCCTTGCTCCCAGTATATTTGCACGGTGTTGTTTCATTAACCGCGTTTTGGATTACGACCGTTTGTAAGTTGCGCAATGTTCATTAAGGACCCCTGTACTCACTCTTTGGTTCTTCCGGTAAAGTCACGTAGAAAATAAAATCAAATAATAATAGAATACGACGTTTCGGTTGCATCCACAAGCGGCCATCATCAGGTAAGAATGCATGTGTGTCTGCCTGTTGTTTCCGTGTCTGTGTTTTATCATTCATTCTTACCTGACGATGGCTGCCTGTGTTGCAACCGAAACGTCGTATTCTATTATTTTATTTTTTACGTGACTTTACCGAAAGAACCAAAGAGTAATTCCTGCAGTCACGAAAGCTTCGAATCTAGTTTGACCCCTGTACTCGTTCTCTGCAATATTGATGGGTTTTTTTTACTTGTCCGTGTTTTGTCCTTGCTGCCGCTGTGCTCACGCAGCACGGATCTGTCTCCCTTCTAAAATAGCCGGGGGAAATAGCTTAAAGGGACCATCCGTTTAGAAATAAAAAATCTTAATTCAAAATAACACGAGAACGCACCACGACTCGCAGCCAGCAGAGAGCGCTGTTCGCCCGTGGATGGAATTGAACCTCCCTGAACCCACGTGGGCGTTGGTATATTTTTTGAGACCACCCCTTTTAGATTTTGACTAAACGTATGTCAATTAACCAAGGTCCACCGCGGGAGGCGGGGGTTATCTTTTTTGAGACCACCCCTTTTAGACTCAACGTGTGTCAATCAACCAAGGTCCACAACAGCGACCAACGATGTAGACAGCAGGGGCCCAGGGGGTCTTCACCTCCCCGAATAATCCTCAGTATTCATGGTCAGAGGTCCACCCGTCACCCATTTTTTTTACCACTGGCATTTCTACCACAAGCCCCGTCTGAATATCTCTCTCGGTGCAAACCGTGACCCCCGTTGCAAGTAGTAGTGATGTGTGGCGCAGTGCACACGTTTCAAAGGCAATGGATTATTGTGCGGTGGTTGAGACTCCGTGTAAATGTCTTATGAGTTGTTGGTTCTCCTCCCGGAGGGGGAGCGGTTGTGTGGTGGCTATCGCACTGCGCTGCGAACCCGGCGACCCCGAGTTCGATTCCCGCTCACGGTCAATCGCAGCGGCGAATATTTGAACCGATCGTGGGCCTCCCCGAGGTCTGCTCAGCCTTGAACGAGTCACTCTTGTGGTCTGTGAACATCAGCGCTGTAAAAAAGAAGGCGACCGGGCGTGGTCTTGGTTATCCACCCCGTCGCGTGCCATGCCGGCCTTCATAGACACTCTCAAACAGCATTTGTCCCAACAGTCTGCTCAAAGACTAAACGGGGAATCTTTGATGTCCTCACGCATGTGTGGCTGTTACTCTGATTTGCAAGATATCACTTCACTGCCAAAAGCCAGCTGTTGGTAATGCCGATATCACGCTTGTTGTTTCTCTAATCTGGCTAAACGGGATAATCCGTGGAACAAATAAAATAAACCATGTTCTCGCAATGTGATTTAGGGTTGTACCGCGTGTTGTTCGGCGTGATGTCCGACGTTTCACTCCACGCGCCGGAAGCTTTTTTTTTACGAACTTCACTGAGCAGCTCACTTTCTCCCTCGATTATGCAGCGTTGCTGGCTGATGCTGCTGCTGCCTCATCCTTAACGCTGATTGGCTCAGACATACGTCTAAGTCAGCTCAAGCCTCCCGTCAATCACCTTAGTTGTGTGTGTGGTCTGCCCCACTCTGTCTCCTTCCCCTCTCCCCGACGCCCCCTGTGGAAAAAGACGCTGCTCCGCCGTGCAGCGAGAACTCTGCCGTGCAGCGAGAACCGAGGGCCTTCGTGTAGCAGGCATCTTCCTCTCAAGCCTCATCTCCCCCGAGCCTTTGCTCCCGTCTCTGCGTTTATCTTCCACCCCTTTCCCATTATTTCCCAGTCTTTCTCTCATTTTCTCTCTTCACTTTCCAGTTCCTTTTCTCATTTTCCATTACATTATAATCCTTGATTCTACTCGCCTCCCCCCTCATGTGCCGCGGGTAAAAAAAAAATAATAGTCGCTAGCCGTGCCATGGTTACTTGGACAGGTGGCAGCCATAGTTGTACCCACGAGTATATAAACTAAACACACATTTTTTTTTATTTCACCAGGTAAGGCCCACTGAGCTATATTGCTCTTTTTTTCAGAAGCGACCTGGCCACACGATAAATTTTCGTTCGTCAGCCGAGGTCTATTATCAACACTGAGTTTACTGTCATGTATTCAATCAGGAATCCACCAGATTCTTGGCACGAATCAATTCCTGCCGCCCAGTCGGGGAATTGGCATGTGTCTTTTTAGTCTGGTGGTATTGCGTCGAGCGTTTTTACAGTCGATGTGCACGGTTGTGGTAATGGACCCCGCAGTCCGATTGAGACATTTGATCGGGTGGAAAAAGGTATCTGCAAGGCACGCACAGGCCGAAATCACACCGGAGGGCCACACTGCACAACCGCGGAAACACCAAACGCAGTCGTGAAGACCTGTAAGGGGCCGTCCATAAATGACGTCACGCGATTTTGGACGATTTTTGACCCCCTCCCCCCCTCGTCACAAATGTCTGACCCCCCCCCTCCCCCCAGGTGCGTGACGTCATTTATGGACGGCCCCTAAGCCAACATCTTTTGGTCGTTTTCCTTGAGCCCCGTCCCTGCCAATGCCGCCCCTTGCGGGGATTCTGAGACACTTGGCACGGAGTCTGGCCGCCGGGCGTCTCGGCCCTGGAATTGAGACCCGATGCTGGAAGTTATGTGCTCCCCAGATTGTCTCATCGCGAAGCCACGCTCCCATTCATCTCATCCACATTCAGCCTCGAAGAGTTTCCATGAGCCAGGCACAGGCGTTTGATTCTCACCTCGAAAAAACAATGGCTCGGCTGAAGGAAATTATTTCCAGATCAGCTGGTGTTATTAAGACACTGGGTGGAAGGGGCAGCACTTTTAACAACATGGTTGGTTGAAAAAAAAAACGGACACATTGGCAGTTGTGTACACACAAATCAAAATAGCGAGTCTGGTTTTTTTTTATATTGACCCACAACTCTTCACGGTGGCCAGGTCACAAAGAGAGGTCAGAGCGCTGAGCTGGCACCGCTGAGAACCTAGGTTCGAGATCAGGAAGGCACCTGTTATTAAATCGGGTCCTCAACTGTACAAAAAAAATCTTATTAACTTTGGCTGTGTATTTAATTTGGTTAAATTCCAGCTGTGAGACTTATCAATTGAACATCTCGGTGACAGAGTGGGTGGGAAAGTGCTGCCCTAATGTGTGGAACAAAAGTCGCTTAAAAGCATCTGAGAGGTAGTTATGTGGTATCCGCTTCCGCGGGCTGTTCTCTAACAGGAAGGGGGGAGGGGCGACGCACTGCAGCGCGCGACATCCGAATGCGATGCTTCATCTCGTGACATGCCGATAACAAAGTCGTGATACAAGTTTGGGGGAAATATCTCTTTAAAATCACACTCTTGAGGCTGTCACGTGCAGGTTGATGTAAATAACATGAATGCAGTACCATATCATAGAGTTTATTCTATTAAAAATCTTGCTGGTCACAAGCAATCATTCTAGGTATACAGTGTATAAATAAATCTACTTCTATAAAATTAAGGCTGCACAGGCCCGAACAGAGGATTTCCCAAACCCCACATTCAAACATCAAACACTTGCTGCTGTTATATTCTTAGTTTTTTCGGTAAAGTCACGTTGAAGAGAAACAACAAAATAACAAAATATATATAAAACAATAAAAAAAATTATCTCACGACGTTTCGACCATAACTCAAACGGTCATCATCAGGTGTGTTTGAGTTATGGTCGAAACGTCGTGAGAGAATTTTTTTATTGTTTTATATATATTTTGTTATTTTGTTGTTTCTCTTCAACGTGACTTTACCGAAAAAACTAAGAATATGAATTACTGCAGTCACGAAAGCTTTAAATCAAAACTTGCTGCTGTTGTTGTTTTCTGGACGGGACGCGCTGTCCCTTAGCTCCAGTCTCTGTTTGGAAATACATTAATTGTAGGGACCTACCGATACAGTGGGGGCTGTTACAGACATCAGCCAAACCTCTCCTGCCATCTAAACAATGTAGCACAAAATATATTCCTTTGTTTTCAATTCGGTCAAAACCAAGGTTGTTTTGGTGATTAAATAACGATGTACCATCCCTGAGCTCTTGTTCCGGGGTGATTCGATGATTCTGTAACATCTTCGCCAGTGCTTCGATTAAAATAATCCGCTCGTCTTCTCCACCGCACTGACCACCGAGTTGTGGTCGCACATTTCCCAGTAAACGTCCTTCGCTGTGTCCATCAAGACGCTCCATCACCTCCATCACCTGCATCACCTTCACCACCTTCATCGTCATCATCGGCGGCGAGTCTGAATTCCTTTTTTTGTTCAATCGCTTTGTTTTTCGTGTGTGTGTGTGTGTAATGCACGACTGAATATTGAGAAAGCCACTCGTCCATCCGTCTGTCTGTCCAGTTGTTCCCATCTGGGGTCTCGGAGCTACCCCGGACTTCGCCATTCCATTGCCTGTCTCACGTTTTCCCATCGCCGTTCCGCATCATAGGCCAGTGAACTCCAATAGCCTAGTATGTGTCCTGCTGCTAAATCAGCTTGTTTTTTTTTTCCACCAGATTGTTGTTGGACAAATAACATTTTTCCATTTCCTCTTCAGCCAATTAGACATTTTAAAGGAGGGGGGGGGCTTTGCCCAAGGTGGGAATCTGATCCCTGAGAACGACTGTTTAAGGGCGATTTATACATTTAAATTATTATATTCCAGCAGTCGCGATGATAGCTCTCTCCAGTTCCCTCCACGTCCCCCGTTTAGTTGTTTTTTAGCCAGGTTGAGATCTCGGGAGACCTGGGATTGCCTCACTTGCAAAAGCGGGGGGGGGGGGGGCATGCACATTTAATTCGCTACGTCCACTGCTCCCTTTCCGCTCGCAGCACTTACCCGCACCTCTCAACCGCACTCCTCCGCGCCACATGCCACACACGCACACACACACACACCGCAGTCTGAATGTACAAACACAGAGGCAGCCTACACGTTGTTAATTATTACTACAGTACAAGGTGATCCACTGATAAATACCCCAATGTGCTCCTAACGACCCCCCGCCCCCTTGCTCTCCTCTCAACGCTTGATGTCCAAAGTGGGCCGGCCATTGTCGGACATCGGGAGAGTTCCGTCGGATTTAGTGGGGGGACGTTATCGAGGCTTTTGCCTGCTCTCTAAAATATAAGGTCTCATGCCCCAAGGCGCCGCCACTACCTCCACCACCTTGACGCCGGGCAAATCCCTGCGATGCAATCGTCCAACCTCGCCACCTGCACGCGGCGAAAAATGATTTCTCCGGATTGTTTTGGTGGGGCATCTATAAATGTATCACCCTGTGTAACACTTCCACGGGCGTTTACGCGCGCTTGTTTACAACTACGCCGAGAGCCTGCTGCTGCTGCTGTTGTTGTCTGAGAATCTATGTAATGAACACATTTAAACATTAAAACACACACGGCCTCAATGCGACATCAGTAGTACCATGTGAACGGTTGCCGTGAGTGTCCCACCAACGTGCAGCAGTAGCAGCAGTAGCAGCAGCAGCAGCAAAAGAAAAGAAGGCATTTGCAGGTGTATCCTGGGTGCGGTCGCCGCGAGTCAATTTGATCATCGTCGCCAGTTCCGCACGAACCCCCGCGTTGCCCCACAAAACCGCAGGTCACGCACGGCGGCGCAAAGCCGCCGGTACCGCCGGCACCTACAGTCGGCTCGCCGGCTCGTTCAGTTTCAAGCTACGGCTTCCTGGCAGTCCCATCGAAGGCGTTTTTTTTGCGCGGTCGTGCCGCGCCGCGTGTTGTTCGACGCTCGACGTCCCCCGCTCGGAACGTCGGGGCGTCGCGCAGGGTGGCACGTGTCGCCATCCGTGAAGGCACGCCACGGAGAGCTCGTGCGGCTCGACCCGCTAGAAACTGCACGGCAGTTTCCCCGGCAGACCTCGCTCGAAGGGTTTAGACTCCTCTTGCCATGCCGCCTGTCCCAAGCGAAACACACTGCTTGGGGTTATTCCCGCCGGTGTGTTGAACAAAAATAAATTATTTTTTTAACAGAACCTCTTTAAATGGACCGCTGGACGAGAGGTCTTCCCACACCGTCGTGACGGTCATGAGGGTTGTTTTCACCGTACATCAGACACTGGCTGTATACGCAACAATGGCTCTTCGTTGTCGCCTATACCTGAATTGCCCGTTGTGTGCTTTCGTTAAAAAAAGTCGTAAATCTATGGGAGCCGTTTTGTTCTTCCGCATCGGAGGCGGCCGACCACAGTGGCGCTCGGTTAGATGAGTCGAGACAACGCGGCAGCTTAGCCGCAACCACGAGCGCATGCACAGAGCGATGACGGTGCAAGCCCATAGGTGGCGGGGGGGGGGGGGGCAGTGGGAGCGGCTCTCCGGCTAAACAGGGTTTAGCACCCTCCACTACCCAATTTACCGGCTTTAAAATTCACACGGCACAGGCGACGAGGTCCGGCCTCTACGGAGCCGGTCGAGGCTCCGCAGAGGCTCCACGCTCAGACGATGCCAGCGCTCTCTCAGTTCTTAAGGTGTTATTTTTTTAAATTAAAATTAAATTAGTACTTTATTTAATTTATCAAAATGTATTCCAACTCTCCCAAAAACGACGTTTTGCAGACTGTGTGCAATCCCTGTTCGGAGCTAACACTCGCATTCTGAACCCACAAAGGGGGAAGTTCAATCTGTAAACGTATACATTTTCCGCGTCTTGAACGCAGAACCGAACGTGCATTCACCCAACAGAACACACGTGTTCCCATCAACCGTGCAACGTTGGGCCAACGTCGGCCCAACGGTTGTAACCACACGCCAACGTTGGCCCAACGTTGGCACTTTAAGTGGGTCTGTGCGGCACACTCCGTCGGCAGTTTAAATTAATCCGGGCGTTCTAATGCCACTGCGAACACTGTTTGAACAGCGATACAACGATTCAAGCAAAACATCATTCGCTCCAGCGGGTTGTCCACCCGTCAAAACTGACTTTCGCGTCAAAATGCCCTCCATCACCAACGAGCGGTGAGGCTTTGCCAGAAGCCGACGAGCGACGCCGCCACCGCCGCTGCCTCCACGACGGTCGCCCGGGACGCTCCCGCTCGCCTCCCGCGCCCAGCGGCGCGCTAGCCGCGGCCCGCGCGTGCGACGGATCTTCCGTCGTGCGCGCAAAAGGCCGCCGCTCCACGAAAACCCGACCGCTCCGCGATCGGCCGAGGCCCCGATCGCGGAGCGACGCTGGCCAACGATTCGTGTCGCTGTCACGCGGCTGTCGGCGATCACGATGTTGTGTTGGCGGTGTTCGGCACCGCCAACACAGTCGCCCCCCAATTCCTCGCGTTTTCTCCGACCTCTGTTCGGTGGAACGCTCCCGGGCAGCACGCGGACAGAACCATAAAAGTACCGCGGAAGTTTTCACAGTCGTGCCGTGCGGCTCTCCGGCGTCGTCGGGTTTCTGCCGCGCGTTCTTCGGCACGGTGTCCGACATTTACTCTCCACCCGCTTCAGCGAAGCTTCTTCGACTCCTCCCCGCATCCCGGCACGCGCGGCCAAAGGTCAACCGTCGCGCCGAACGGCATGCGACGCAACCCGGACATCGTGAAAGACTCTGGTGCCGTCTCCGTGGCAGGCACAGAATCCTGTAAACGCGCCAGGTGAGTCAACCTCCCAATATAAATAACGCGAGCGCAAACGTTGTTTGTGATCAATACCGCAAAAAGAAATGACTGACGCCGTGAACATTGTGTTCGTTTAACACGAAGACACCAGCTTCTGCGTTGAATTGGAAACAAACGCTCCCTGCGCACAACAAGCAAGCACAAGTTGACGTTGCGGAAACACCTCGCAGTAAAGTTACACGACGCACCCCATATGCAGGAGGCCTCCCCGCCGGGGATGAGATGTGCTCTTCGCTCGCTTACTTACAGAGATCCCCCCCGCGACTCGGCGGCAGGCCGTCCCAGCGTCCAACCCGGAGTCCTTATCGATTCTTTGGTATGACCGCTCGCGTCGCACGGAAGCTGCGCAACAAACGCTCGGGAGTGTTTTTCCCCCCTACGGCGCCGAGCACTCGGGCATCGGCGAGACGCAAAACTGTGGGCGATTCGATGCTGTCGGTTGTTTTTTTATTTTTTGGCACACAAACCCCAACGCCCCCGCTCGAAGTCACCACTCTGCCGGCGCACGGACCGCTCTCAATCGGTGCTCCTGCGGCATCTTGGGCGAATGCCGCATTCCCTGATTCAATTTGTTTTTGTCGTCGCGTCAACGGACGCCCGGTGTGACGCGACCCCCACGGCGGCCGGTCCGCCGGTGACCCCCTGCTCCCTTCTGAAGCGGGCGCTTGACCTTCACAGAGTCGATCGCCCGCAGCCGGAGGGCAGCCGGCCGGCCTTCTCTCTACGCCGCTCTGTCCGGCGGATGGCCGATGTAGTTTGATTTCGGGCTTGCGCCAAAGCTGGCCGGTGCTCACTTTGATTCACTCACCCCCCCCCCTCCCCCACCCCTCCCCTCCCCTTGTTTTGTCGACGGCGGCGAGTCGAGATGGAATTGCCAGGACGGGAAGCCGTTCGCGGTGAAGGATTGCCGGCGCCGGTGGCTCGCCGACAGCTGCCGCCTCCGGTGTTACCGGGCGATGGCAGAACCGGCAACATTCCGGGAGCTGTATTTGACGTGGAAGTTGGGGTCCTGGCACGCCGCGCCAGGCACGGCCACCTCTGTCGACTCCGCCGGGTTTACGTCGTTTGAATGACACACAGCCCTGGAAATGGGAAAACGTTATGAATAGAAATCGCTGTAGTGATGCTCTGTGTTTGTCGTTGCGCCTGTGATGCACGACTTTTTTCTGGTTATTCATTGAAACGGACGCTTTTAGCCCCAAACGGCTCTCGGCTGGTTATAAATAAAGCATTCTAATGATCGATTACATCAGTCATTTAAATGTGGTGCTCAAAGCACAGTTCTAAATACTTCTGTGGAAATTACATTAAAATAAATAAAACTATTTTACGGAATATTGTTTTTTTACGTGTGTGTATCAAAGGTGAAATATACACTCAAAAAATAAATTTCGATTCTGCGTGATTGAAGGCAATGACGGTGATGCATACCTGTCAATCCCTTATCAGTGCCTACCTTATTACAGACCAATTCAGACATTATTGGTCACCCCGTGCCCTTATAAATCTCAACGTTACTTCTATAAAGTCAAATAACAAGGGAAAAACACAAACATATATAAACAAACATTTGATTTTGGCCGCATTTGAAACGGCTGTACACTGCATGGACCCGAAAACTGAATTTCCCTGTACAAGAATACGTGTAAACCGTATGGGCTGACAGCAATGGTGATGGGCACTTCCTCATGCTAAACGCACAGCGCACGGGCATTATAAAGACATTTTTAATACTGCAGGTGGAGTTGCACTGAGAGACAAAGATGAACACGTGGATCAGAGAAGACGTGCAGGTCAGGAAAAGGATTCGGACCTTTGGGCACGGATGCGTCGTGGCTAGGAGGGATGATGGACGAGACTAACACTGGAGTGGCAGCCAAAGGAGGGAACGCATGCCCAGAGAGAGCACGTCCACGGCAGAGACGGAGCGATGAAATTAGCCTGCGTGTGTGAGCTACATGGTTCGTTACATCGTTGAACCCACGAGGGATGGACTCAGCTTGGAGAGGCTTTTACCCAGCAGCGGATTGATCACAGCTGCTGCTGCTGCTGCCATTGTGGCAATTCTATTGATTTGTTTTTGATAGGGCGCCCTTCGTGCCTCAAGAGTGCAAAACAAGCGGTGAGCAGCCGTCCCTGTGCGGCACGATGTGACTCGGCACCCGGCTCACTAGCGGGCATCAGCCTGGTGCCAGTAGAGGCCAGTGATTGCCGCTGCCGTGATGTGCTCCCGGTCGAGTTGGTGGTGATCGTGGCGTCGTGCGCACCGAAACCTCACGGACACGCCGATGGGTGCTTGCTCTGCTGCTCCGTCGCCGGCGAGTGCTGCCCCCCGCCCAGCCCCACGCTGCCCTCGCTGCTGCTGCTGCTGCTGCCGCCGCCGCTGCTGCCCTCCGTGCTGTCGGCTCGCGTCGCCGTGACCGCCGCCCCGTCGAGCGCCAGCGGCTGCCCCCTCCGGCGGCTGCCCCACTTGTGCCCATCGGCGCGCTTGGGCTTCATCTTGGGGAAGGTGTGCAGGCCGGAGGGGTGCTCGTCCCATCGCGAGCACGGGCGCGCCTCCATCCACGCCTGGCCGTCCGCCCCCCCCGCACCGCCACCAGATCGCTCGGCCGCCCGCTGCAAGCACAGGGGCGCAAGGGCGCCAGAGCCCGGGCCGGGACTCGAACTCAGGTCACCGGCCACGCCGTCCACGGAACGACCGTCGCTGTTGCCGCTGCGCACGTCCTCCGCCGAGAAGGTGAACACCTCTCCGTCAGACACTGCAAGGAGACGAATGTGGCGGGAGGGAGAGGGGGAGCGGGGTGTTGGTAAGGGGGAGCGTGGCTTGGGGCACAGCCTGGCGGCGACCGGGCAGACGGTGCGGTGACGGCGCGGTTCGCCGCGACGTTTCGGTCGCGACGACAAATCGAGGGCGACGATTCGCGGATGACGTTTGGGGAGGATGCAAAGTCTGCCTCGGGTTTTCCAGTCTGGGTTGCGTTCAGTTGAGTAAGCGGATTACAGTGGCAGTGGCTTCATCGTCACCCGCACTGATGCATCATCACCGCACATTGCCGTAGACCCACCACAGACTCACACAAAAACCCACCGACTCATATACAGATGCACACGGAGGCCATAGACTCACACAGAGATCCACAGACTCACATAGAGACCCGCAGACTCACACGGAGACCCATAGGCTCACACAGACACATAGAGAGCCACAGATTCACACAGAGCCCGAGAGAGTGACCCATTGATTTGCATAGAGACCAAAAGACTCACAAAGTGACCCACAGACTAACATATAGACTCACAGACTCGCAGACTCACAAGGAGACCCAACGACTCACACAGACACCAACAGATTCACACAGAGACCCACAGACTCATACGGAGACCCATAGGCTGACAGAGAGACCCACAGTCTCGCATAGAGATCCGACACACATAGAGACCCAGATTCACACAGAGACCCACACTCACATAGAGACGCACAGACTGACAGAGAGACCCATACACAGAGATCCACACTTACATAGAGACTCGCAGACTCACATAGAGACCCACAGATTTACATAGAGACCCACAGACTCACATAGAGCACCATACACAGACTCACATACTCACAGAAATGCACAGACTCACATAGAGACCCACAGACTCACATAGAGACCCACAGACTGACATAGAACCCCATACACAGAGACCCACAGACTCCCATAGAGACCCACAGACTCATATAGAGACCCATACACAGAGACCCACAGACTCCCATAGAGACCTGCAGACTCAATACAGAGACCCACAGACTCGAACAGAGACCCACAGACTGACATAGAAAACCATACACAGAGACCCACAGACTCACATAGAGACCCACAGGCGCACATAGAGACCCACAGACTCACATAGAACCCCATACACAGAGACTCACAGACACGCATAGAGACCCCACTGAGAAACTGGCTAATGCTGGCGAGCGGCTTCATCTTCGGCGTTTTCTCCAGCGCTCGGCAGAGCTCAACACTCGTGAATCAACAGCATCGTCATGGTCATCATTATCAGTATCGCCATTATCACATGGTGACATCGCTTTCCAATTGCTCAACTATCCACCTGCCCGCATCACCTGAGACTGGAAAACCCGGGGTGGAGTTTGATGTCTCTTCGATCTGCATCCACGAACCACCACTGTGGATTAAATTACATACCACCGTTGTAATAAATGCCCAAAGCTTTTACCCCTAAGAAAAAAGCAGTAAAAAAGAGAAGAAATGTCCCGCATTAGCGACTTGTTTTTAAATCGCTTAATTTGGATTTTAAAAAAAAGAACATTCGGGGCTGAAGCTGAAGCGTGTTCACGTATGGTTTTTTTTGTTCATTTACAGTGTAAAAATAAAGCTTAGAAGCCTTCAGGTTAAGCAAAAAGCGTACACATGATCGTTCTTAACAAGAAGCGTGTTTATTAACGCAACACGGAACCCCCGTACTTACTCATTGGATCGGGCTCTGGTGATCGTTTGCGGTTTTCCCTGCTGCTTCACTGAAAAACGCAATCATGCAATTACCATCCCCTTACTGGAAAGCCTCGCCTTAAATGGATCCTGGTTACACGCCTCTGCATTCATGCGGAAGTTGATTTGTCATTCCAAAGCCAACAAAAGAAAAAGTTATTGTCCGTCAAGTTCGAGTTTGTTCTTCAGCGACAACGCGACATGTTTGTAACAGTGAAAATTCTCGATTGATATTCCCCCGCGAAAAATATGCGGTCACGTTTATCAATAAACAGTGGGTTCCTGCGGCTCAAATTGAGCCTTGAGCCGTTAGGTGCTCATCCCCCGTTTACTGCCCTGCCGAGTGAGTGGTGGACAGTCCACATTCCTCGGGTGGGAGCGGGTCTATCCATAGGACAATCGCTGTTGGCTCCCACATAAAGCGGTACTCATTTTATTCACCCCATAGTAATGATGGGCTGAGTCAACTGCCCCTCAACCGGGATTTGAACTCGCAAACCTTCAGCGTGCGAGCCGCCCGCTCTACCGCTGAGCCACCCGGCTGGATTTATATATACGGAACAGAATTTTCAAAAAATTTTTTTTTTAATCATCCTATACATTTTCGCATGTAACGCAGCTTTTTATTCAGTATACATTTGTGCACAGCCGTGAGCTTCTTCGGCGACCGCTACGAGCGTGCGGGAGCGAAGCGTCGGACACCGTCGCCCTCATCAGCCACGCGCACGGCAACAACCCGAGCGGGACCTCGCGCGCACTTGCACCGCGCGCGCTCACGGGGAAAGCGTGGACGGTTGCTCCGGCCCTGCCGGCCACTACTGACTACGCCGGCCGCTCTGTGCCACCATGGCCGCGCCGGGTCGCGCCGGGTCGCATCGCTCACTGTTGCCGGGGCTGCTGACTCCGGGCGTGCTCGGCAGCGAGCGGTAGGTGTTCGGCGAACAGTTCTCCGACGACAAGCTCTTGGAGCGCTTCTTGCACTCGCTCACGAACTGCTCGCGGCACTGCTTGTGGCAGTTCACGCCGCAGTCTGCGAGCGTGTTGGTGGGTGGGGGCAGGTGGGGGGTGGGGTGCGGGGTGGTGGTGGGTGGTGGGGGGGGGCAAGGGGGAGAGGGCACAGGTCAGAGGGCAGAACAAGCGGGTTGCAGGTGAAGCCACAGGGTGGGCGACCATAAAAAAATACTTGGCTCCATTCAGCCTTAACTTTAAAACAAAATTATCCTGGAGGGCAGGGAGTGAACACCGCGGAGTTATTAGCAATGTAGACGAGCAGACCCCAGTGACGCACTGCGCTAACTCGAGCGGTTGCTTTTTGTAAAAATATATATTCTCGTGTTTTTCGCCAAATGCACACCCGACAGGGCTATTATCGGGCGTCTTGCCACGGGACGCAAACTCTGGCGGCGAGCGGCGCGACCCTCCGCGGATCGGTCAAAAGGCTCCCGGCGGTCGGCGCGGCGTGACACGGCCGTGGCCTCGGCTGGATGACACCTTGCGAACAAATCGCTCGTCCGCGCAATTGCCGCGACGGTGGCGACGACGATGACGTCGCCAGTGTCTCACCTCTGCATTTGTAGCCTTGTTTGATGAGCCCCCACATCTGCAGTGACAAGGGAATGAGAACGAGGGAGAGCGCCGTCGTTAATGAGCACATTGTTTGTCAGACGGCGGCGACGGGAGGAAGGAAGCACGCGACTGACGCAACAGATTAGAGGACATCTGGCCGATGCCTGTAACCCAGGCTGCAGCCGGGCTACGACAGGATGCACGCTCGCAAGAGACCCTTCCTCTGGCTCACCAGCCACCGTCCCCCCCCCACTCCACTCCCCACCAATGCTCTATGCGCTTAGCAAGGCGGCGTAAATACGCGGTGGCGAACAGCTGCTCTGTCCGTCGCTGCTGCCCTCCCGCTGTCCGGCCCGTCTAACCCTTTTTGCCCTCTTACCCGGCCGAGAGTTCCTCAAAAGCAAAAAACTAAAGCCCGCGGCTGAACAGCCGAGCTGTCAAGGGGTTGCCGGCGCGGCGACACTCCCAGTGCTGCCGACATGCAGGGCAAGGGGCTTGGCAATGCGAGTGTGCAGGCGGTGAAGATGCACCGGGCCCCACTGGCCAGAGGGGCCCAGGCGCTGGGCTAAGGAGAAGTGAGAAATTGTATCCCATTCATTACGTGTGTGTGTGTATGTTGAACTTCTTTCGCACCGTACGTAGCTGTCCACACTAATCGGAGGGGGGGAGGACAACAAAACTGAACACAAAAATCTGTCCTAAAGAAAAGAGTTTTCAATTTAGATTATTTAAAAGTGCACAGCTCTCAGGGGCTTCCTCAATATCGGAAGGAAGAGCGTTCCAGACGGCCGCAGAAGCGCATCTGAAAGCGCGCGGTGCGGTGACCACCTTTGTTCGGTGGTCAGCCAAAAGCCGCTCCGAGGATGACCGCAGTTCGCGTGATGAAGGTTTATGCTCCTAGACGAGATCAACAAGGTATTTGTTTTGATTTAAAGCTTTCGTGACTGCAGGGATTCATATTCTTGGTTCTTCGGTAAAGCCACTTAGAAGGGAAACAATAAAATAATAAAAATATAAAACAAGAAAATTATCACGACGTTTCGACTACAACACAAACAATCATCATCAGGTGTGAAAACCACATTATTTTCGTCACCCCCCTCCTCTTTTCCGAACATAGATGGACTCGTCCTTCTGAATAACTGCCAAATCGCTCTCCGTGGTGCTAACGTTAAAAAAACGCCACTTTTTTAAATTTTCTTGCTGTGGTTTTCACACCTGATGATGATTGCTTGTGTTGCAGTCGAAACGTCGTGAGAATTTTATTGTTTTATATTTGTATTATTTTATTGTTTCCCTTCTACCGAAAGAACCAAGAATATAAGGTATTGGTTGTTCAATACCTTGCCGACGATAGACACTATGCGGGTGGCAGGGTGCTGGCACAGTGGTAATGGGCGTGCCTCACAGCAGAGAGGGCTCTGGGTTCGATTCCTGGCTCGAGTACCTTCTGTGTGGAGTTTGTATTTTCTCCCCCCCCCCCCCCATTCGCCATGGCTAATCATGCTGCGAAGAGACCTGCGGATGACTCAATTGGGATTACACAGCAGCAGCAACTTCGCCTCTGCCTACAAAACCTTGGCAGGACCCCTCCTACAAAAGGGTCTTGAGGCTCAGTGTGGCTCACTGGCTCAGCAAACGTCATTAATATTCATCGTAAAATAATCAAGCAGACGATTCGTCTCCTTCACGTATCCATCTCCACGTAAGTAAAAAAAGATTCAGACAACATTTTCAGCGGCATTGCTTTCAAGACAAGCAAACTCCGGACGGCCTTCCACGTGCTGTGTCTAGCCAGACGCCCAAGCGTGTAGCCGGACAAATAGGGTCGGCAACCAAAATAACAAGAAAAGCGAATTTTTTGTTCGAATTCGCAATGCCAGCGAATGCGAGACGGTGGTGGTTCTCGATGAACGCCGTCAAGAATCGCTGCACGTTGCCGACCGCTGGGCCAGACGCTCTTAGTTGTTCAATGTTGGACTGCGGGGCGCATAACTCCCCGTCGGCACCCAACATTATCAGGTCAGCCAATCGGTGAACTCGGTTGATATCCGTCTCTCGTCACGGTCGGTCACAGCTTTGGTTTCTGCTGGGCGGCAGTCGTAGTCGTCATCGTCGTCATCATGCTCGATGACTTCCGACCACTCCTCCGAGTCGTCGTTGACTCGAATTAAAAGAACGCTCTGCTCCTCAATGTTTTCGTCACCGATTTTTCGCGGCCACAACGGACGGGGTGCATGCACGCGTGCCGGGAGGGGGGAGGGGGGGGGTGGCGACGGGCGGCCCGCAGAACTCACGAATCCTGCGCAGTGCTCGCAGAACGTCGGCTTGAGGTAGGTGGTCTCCTGGAACCGGTGCACGAAGCCTTGGCCCATCTTGTGCGTCAGGATGGAGTTGGCTCGCAGGAAGTAGGCAGACATCTCCTCCTTGCTGATAAGGCCGTCCCTGCGGATGGGTGGGTGGGAGAGGCGCGGGTTTGGTGAGCAGGCGGGCCGGGTGAGCAGGCGGGCCGGGTGAGCAGGGGGGCAGGAGATGAAAGGCGGCAGATGAAAGGTGGCGGTAGTGTTTGGAGAAAGGGCTGGGTGTCCCTGCCGCCTTCGGATGACACTCCCAGGCGAGGCCACGTCACCCAGGGCCCTGGCGCCTCTCCTCTTCACAAACAACCTAATTTATTCATGAAGCACCTTTGACACGGATCCTCAAAGCACTCCGACAAAAATCCTAACAAAAATCCTGCAGTGGATTGGCGTAATCCGTCAGGGAGTGCCTTGCAGGAGTATGTTGTGTTTTTAAAAGGAAGTTCTTAAAAGTCTTCGAGAGACATTTCCGTTTTTATCTCTGTGTATGTAATGCGTTCAACATTCTTAGAATAATAATAATGATGCCCTTTATTCCCAAGGAAAGTCTCACCAAGTCTCAAGACTATATTTCCCAGCGTCCTGCTACATTGGGATGTTGGGCTAATTCCTTGCATTCGCGTTCGGCTTCGTGTGGGAGGAAAACCACAGTACCTGGAGAAAAACCACGTGTCAGAGCTAACCATACTTCACCAGGCTGGTCAGTGCGGGTTGGCGAAGGGTGGTGTCCAGAACCAGTTCAGATATCACTCGCCACTGCCGTTAGCCATGGCCGGGTACAGGACTCTGGTGGCCGAGGTCCACAGTTCGGCGCAGTTGCTTCTCTTGCTTTTTGGCCGTTATAGTGTTTTCATAAATGTTGTTAATCAAAAAAGTTTTTTGGGTTATATCGCATAACTATAAATGTGTCGTTAACCCACCACCACCACCACCATATGCAGCCAATTAGTAAGGTTTGTAATGCAAAACAATTAGTTACTAATTGGCACGTTTTGTTAAACAATGAGTTACTAATTGGCACGTTTTGTTTACATGACAAACCTTACTAATTGGCCGTGTGGGGTGGTGGTGGCTTAACGACACATATTTACGTGACCTAACCCAAAGACACCTTGATTATTCATAATATTGCTCGCGAAAGCCGACGTGTCAAGTGTCATCGTGTAACATAGTTGATCAAATATTAGTCGCATTACATTTTATTTATACACATTTAAAATTACGTTAATATCCGGTTGAAAAAATGTTTAATTCTCTCGCCAAAATGATTAACCCGCTCCGAAATTTTCCCCACGCAAAAATTCTCAGCTTAGCTTCCTGCGCCATTTGTCAGGATGCTCGAGCCAGCCACACTGCCCACCCTGCGTCGTACACAACGATTCCAAAACCAAATTTACATTGAAGCATTGCGAATTGGGCGCAACAGGGCAGTGCCAGTGCAGCTGTAAAACACTCGCGGCTCGGCAGCAAGGCGGACCTGGGTTTGATTCCCGACTAGGGTGCCTCTCTGCGTGCAGTGTGTGTATGTTTCTCTGCTATCCTGCGTCGGTTTCTTCTGACTTCGGTTTCCTCCCATAGCAAAAAAAAAAATCATTATACAATGTCACCGGTATTGACCAAAACATCCCAATGCTGAAAAATTACCTGCAAATAACTCAATTTGGGATCACACAGCAGCAGCAGCAGCAGCATTGCCACCTGCTGTCAAAACTTGGCAGGACCCTATTGGAAAAAAAAAGGTCTTGAGACTCAGAACGGCTTTCCTGAATACACAAGCCTCTTCAGATGCACAAGTGTGCCACGAAGGAGGGCCACTGCCTCATAACATCCAGCAGTGGATTGACATACCGTGCCCACCACGCCACCATGAGCAGTGCAGGCGACTGCACGTGGCATACGCGGCGCTGCCAAACAAGAGCACGTGAGCGTGACGCACACATTCCCAGGGGTCTACAGATGATCCGGCGATGCAGCAGCTGCTGCTGCTGCTGCTGCTGCGTTGGCAGTGGTGTGCAAGCACGATCAATATAGCAACACGTTCGTCAATAACGCTGATGTGCTCTAACTTAATGAATGAATAAATACATCACACTCATTGGCTTGCTATGAAGAAGGGCCATTGCCAGAAACGTCTCCTGTTACATTTTATTCCTTCTAAGGTCACAGTGTCAGTGTTATTGACGAACGGTGGCGAGATGTTAACTACTTCGCCTTGTATACAGGAGGTCGTGGGTTCTATCCCGGCCCTGACGCCTGTTTATTTGGAGTTTGCATGTCTCTCTCCCCGTGGTCGTGTGGATTTTTCTCCGCGTCCTCCGGTTTTCCACACCACATTGAGAATCAACGTGCGTTTAGAGTGTTTGGCTGCTATACATTTCCACGTGATAAGCCACTTCGTTGAACTATCATTTGTGTGGCCAGGTCGTTTCTGAAAAAGAGCTATACAGCTCAGTGGGCTTTACCTGGTAAAATAAAAATAGTTTAGTTGATCCAAAATAAAGGTTTAAGACCAAAACAGGAAGACTTCTTCACAATTCTGGCAAATCGCCTGATGAAGCTGGTTGTTGTGATCACAAGGAAAACGTCACAGTACTCAAATTGTCAATGTTGTGGGTTTACTCTCCTACACACTGATGTGCTGAAAGTAGTAACTGATTAGCACGTTTTTTTTAGGTGACAAACCTTACTAATTGGCTGTGTTGGGTGGTGGTGGGTTTAACGACACATTTATATGATTGTTCATCTAGAAACGCCATTTGGGATTGAATTAAATCATTGGTAAACGCCACATACTCGTCTCTGGAGAAGTTTGTGAGCAATGTGCGTGAAGGTCAGACCTCCGGCAGTATTTCTCAAGCGCTGAAAACGATCGGTTCTCAGCTGTTTAGGCGCCGGGTTGTTGAACACAGCGCCCCCGCGACGGCTAGTGGTGCACACGTCTAAATCCAACGGTAACACACCCATCAACCCAAAACTCCAACAGCTAATTAAACACCACACCTCCGAGGGCTTTGTGAAGGAGAAATCAACGACGGTGCAGACCCTAGCATAAGCATTGCTTGTTCAGGCTCTGATTGCATTGACAGAGTCCGTAGCCGTCCGCTCACTGGTCTTTGTCGAGCACGCAGAACGAGTCGAGGAAGGGGAAGTTGGCCGCGACCTGCTCGAAGTCCTGCTGCGAGATGTAGCCATCACGGTCGTGGTCGTAGTTCTTGAAGACGGACTGCCGGGGGGGGCGGGGGGGGCGACACGCGTGCCGAGCAACGCTTCACATTCGAGACTCAAAGGGGAGTCTGGGGGGGGGGGGGGTGGGCGGACTCAAACGGGGCCCAGGGCCGCGTGTTGGATAAGGGCTGTCCCATTTATAACAGGAAGGTCCTGCCAAGTTTTTGCAGCGGTGGGGGGGGGGTGCGAAAAGATTGGTAAGCGAATTCCAATTGCAAAATTTGTGGGCAATTATTTTTGACTGGACATCTTGGGACGCCGTGAATGGCGCTGGGCATGAGAGTTCGCTCCGCCCTCGCTGTGACTTGGTCCGTTTGTGCGGTGCCCTCGTGGAAGACCGCCCGTGGGCAGCTCGCTAACCAACCGCATGGCACAACCCAGCACAGCGGCCGTGGCCACCAGCCCATGCGGCTCTGGGGCGATCTTGGGCCGGCTGTGACCACTGGGGCTACTCCTCTCCTGCAGCAATAGCCGCAGAGGACCCCGCTGGTGGCCGTAGGGACCATTCTGGTGGCTATAGGGACCCTTCTGCTGATTGTCGGGGACCCCTCTGGTGTCTGTAGGGACCCGTCTGGTGTCTGTAGTGGCCCCTCTGGTGTCTGTAGTGACCCCTCTGGTGTCTGTAGGGACCCCTCTGGTGTCTGTAGGGGCCCCTCTGGTGTCTGTAGTGACTCCTCTGGTGTCTGTAAGGACCCATCTGGTGTCTGTAGTGACCCCTCTGGTGTCTGTAGGGACCCGTCTGGTGTCTGTAGTGACCCCTCTGGTGTCTGTAGGGACCCGTCTGGTGTCTGTAGTGACTCCTCTGGTGTCTGTAGGGACCCCTCTGGTGTCTGTAGGGGCCCCTCTGGTATCTGTAGTGGCCCCTCTGGTGTCTGTAGTGACCCCTCTGGTGTCTGTAGGGGCCCCGCTGGTGTCTGTAGTGACCCCTCTGGTGTCTGTAGGGATCCCTCTGGTGTCTGTAGTGACCCGTCTGGTGTCCGTAGTGACTCCTCTGGTGTCTGTAGGGGCCCCTCTGGTGTCTGTAGGGGCCCCTCTGGTGTCTGTAGTGACCCCTCTGGTGTCTGTAGGGACCCCTCTGGTGTCAGTAGTGACCCCTCTGGTGTCTGTAGTGACCCCTCTGGTGTCTGTAGTGACCCCTCTGGTGTCTGTAGGGGCCCCTCTGGTGTCTGTAGTGACCCCTCTGGTGTCTGTAGGGACCCCTCTGGTGTCAGTAGTGACCCCTCTGGTGTCTGTAGTGACCCCTCTGGTGTCTGTAGTGACCCTTCTGGTGTCTGTAGTGACCCCTCTGGTGTCTGTAGGGACCCCCCCCCACCCCGCCGGGCAGGGCCTTGGCGAGGCGGCACGCACCTCCACGACACGCTGCACGTGCTTGTTGATGGTGGCCGCGTCGGGCTTGGGCGACACGCCGGAGGCCCACTCGGCCATCACCACCGGCTTCGAGGGCGTCAGCGGCTGCACAACCACACGATGGCACGTGGGGGGTGGGAAGGGGCGGAGGTGGAGGGGGGACCAGCGTTACCACGACAGTCCGCGACGACTTCCCGACTATCCGTGGCTTGTGCCGATCAGTGAAAAATCCCATCGCCTGCAGATTGTCGCATCCCATCAGCGGCGTATAATAATATTATTATTATTCATCACGCGTAGGACATTTGGCAAATTCCAGAGGGCGTGGGACAACCGCGCCCTCTGATCTTTCGCTCTCTCGCCGCGTTCGGCTCGGTCGAGGCTCTACCGCATCGGCAGTGCCGTGTGAATTCTTAAGCCAGTAAATTGGATTGTGGGGTGCTAAGCCTTGTTAGCCGGAGCCCCCCCCCCTCCCCCCGTCACATGTGATCCCACCCAGACTGCACTGCAGAGCGCATGGCATTATGGGAATGAGAGCAAACCATGTGACATCCCCAGGTCCCAGCTTGGCTGCGTGTTGGATGATCGTATTTTACGCTTCCAGTTTCGCATTTTCAGATAACGACAGAAATTTTTTTGACTTCGAACTGCTGAACGAGGGCCTCCCCACACCGTGCGGGTAGTGGGGATTATTTCACCATACTTCACCACGTTGGTCAGCACGAGTTGGAAGCGTAGAAGTGCAGTACAGCAATATATTTTATTGCTGCACTGCCCTCTGGTACCCACCACGTAGCCCCACAGCAACCTGCTGTGCATGGCAGTCGCCCATCCAAGCGCTATCCAGGCTCAATGCCCGCTTAGCTTCCGAGCGCTGACGGGACGTGGCGAATTTCATGCAACCTGGTCGTACGCTCGTTTTAAACGACTCCGAGTCGTTTTCATTTCGGCGCGTGGCTTCAACGACGCTGTCTGCCTAACTTGTTTAGACAAGGCCCTGCGCCCTTTTGAGTTGAGACATTCTATAGTTCTGCTGCAAGAAAGCGAGCAAAGTAGCAGCGGCAGCATTGCGAAGCGTGTGCGAGAGAGAGAGAGAGAGAAAAAAAAAAAGAGAACAAATAATAAAACAAAACTTTCATTGCACGCACACGGCGCCGTGACCCCGCGAGGTTTTATTTTTGCCGCGCGTTTGACGCAAGCGCGGGCGTCGATTGTTCTTACTGTTGATTTTGGATTCCGCGGTTCCCTCATCAAGGAGAGCTCGTAGATCTCGTCCTCCGTGTGGTACAGGTCCAGGGACAGCTAAGGGGAAACACGCGGCACCCCCGACAAAAAAAAAACACGCACCACAATCCGTCACTCCCGGGCGCAATAAACGTGTCAAATAATGCTGACGCTCGCGCAAGCAAAACAAGAAATATGAAGCTAAAGTTCGCCCGTGTTGCCAGTAGCCAGGGGAAACCTGGCACTCGCCTGGCACACCCCCAACCCCCACACTACCGTGGGCAAGTCCACCCACAGGGGCAAGGGGGGCTGAAAGGGGCACTTCGTCCTGGGCCTAACACGAAATAGGGTCCCACAACGGTCCTGTGCAATAATTCTGCCCCGGGCCTCCAGGAAGCCTCTGGGCGGCCCGGATTCCCAGCGTTGCCTGTCCGGCCATCATGGACAGCAGGCTCTAAGAATAAAAAAACAATCAACTATTTTTTGTATTATACCAGGTAAGGCCCTCTGAGCTCTGTAGCTCTTTTTCAGAAGCGGCCTGGCCACAAATGATCGTTCAACGAAATGGCTTATCACGTGGACATTTACAGCAGGCAAATACTCTTCTAAATGTGGAGGGAAAAACCGGAAGACCCGGAGAAAAATCCACGCGACCACGGGTAGAGAGACACCGCAAACTCCAAATATACAGCAGCAGGCGTCAGGGTCGAGATCAAACCCACGACCTCCTGTATACCAGGTGAGGTCGTTAATATCTTGCCACCGTGGTGTATCAACACTGAATGTCCAGCCCAGCATTATCAATCGACTGCTGGGTGAAGGCTTCACCACACCGTGCCGGTTTTTAGGTTTTTTTTGGCCATACTTCCCCACATTGGTCAGTGTAGATCAGTGAATTGTGGGCCCAGAACTGATATTAGCCTTGGCCGGGAATCGGTGCGCTGACCACTACACCACGGCTTCCTCATGGCCATAACTTTATTGGTACCGGTTTCCTTATATGGCCAATAAACATGAATAATGTGCTGACATTCTCGAACGAGTCACGAGATTGTTATGTTTTGTACGCAGTTGCATTAAAAAGGTGGCCCGCAAGAAAAAAAACATTCAAACGTGGCCTGATCATAATCAAGAGACGCAAGACAATAATGAGCGCCGTGGTAGAGAGCATACGTAACGAAGGACACGCATTCGTTATTCGTTTTATTATTTATATTCTCCAAAACACAATGCGAATGATGATTTTTCTTGTTGTACATCACGTAAGTCTGCGTTGAGCCAGGACTCGTATCTAGCAGAGAAGGGCCTCTAACACGTGGCAGTTCAGCAGCATCGGTCCAAGCAAGCCTGACTGTTGATGAGACACCGTGTGTTGAAACCAGTCGGGGGTTTTGCTTGTATTGAACCAACGCTGCTGAGATTATACACTCCCAGAAGGCCTTGCGGGTAAGGTGAATGAACAGGCACGAAGCCCGATCAAAATTGCACGTAAGATGATAGTGGTTGAATCATTTGTGGGGTTGTTATTAAAAGTGGTGGTGTAGTCGTGGTGACAGTTATGAGAACAGGCGGAATAGATTAAAGATGGCTTGGGGTAGATCTGGTTGTAACTGGGGGATGTGGGTAAGCAGTTGCAGTAGGGGTAGTGATAGGGGAAGGTGTGGTGATAGGGATAATGGTAGGGGTGGTGATAGGGGTAGTGGTGGTAATAGGGGTAAGGGGTAGGAGTTAGAGTGGTGATTCAGAGTAGTGGTCTTTTGTACAGCCGATGTATGTGCAGAGCACCGACTACAATTTCACATTCAGGTGGTCAAGCCAGATAACCTCGGCAGGAGCAGCGGCGTGTATATCCTCTTTGGTTCTATTGGGTAAAGTCACGTAGGTAAAAATAAAATAACAAAAATCACGACGTTTCGGCCACAACACAAGCGGCGTGATTTTTGTTATTTTATTTTTTACCTACGTGACTTTACCCAATAGAACCAAAGAGAATGGATCCTTGCAGTCACGAAAGCTTTAAATCTAGGCGTGTATATCGTTGTAATGTCTCCTTCATATTTGTGGATCGGGGCACTGCGTCGGCATACATTGTGCGGTCTGTTCTGGATGACCACAGTGGCACACTGGAGAGTTTTTTTTTTATTTCGATTTGTGCATCAGGTATGTGCATCTGCCATGGTTTGTGCAGATGCGGTTTAGGGGTAGTGATCGGGGTAGTGATAGGAGTTGGGGTAGGCCTGGTCGTAGCTGGGGGGCAGGGAGTAGCAGCAGCAAGATGGGCTAGGGAGAAGATGTTAACTACCTCTCCTGGTATACAGGAAGTTGTGGGTTCGATCCCGATCCTGACGCCTGTATATTTGGGATTTGCAAGTGCTCCCCGTGTGGATTTTTCTTCGGATCCTCCGGTTTTTTCCCTCTACATTTAGAAACAAGCGTTTAGAGTATCTGCCTGCTAGAAATTTCCACGTGATACTCCACTTCGTTGGGCTTTCATTTTTTGGCCAGATCGCTACTGAAAACGAGCTATACAGCTCAGAGGACCTTGCCTGGTAAAATAAAAATAGTTTCGAGTTTAGTTTATAGATGAGTTTCAAGGGAGGAGCGGAAGCAGGTTGTAGCAAAGATGATTGTTTTACGCGCAGTGGGAGACTGTTCCAGCAGAGGGGGGGGGCACCATCTGCGTATTTATAAAAGTTTTTTTGTGGCGAGTGGTGGTAGTGGTAGTGGCGGTAGTGGCGGTGGTAGCAGCGGCAGTGGCGGTGGTGAGCGGCCGTAGCGGTGGCGGCGGTTGGGAGCGGTGGTGGCGGTTGGGAGCGGCCGTAGCGGTGGCGGCGGTTGGGAGCGGCGGCGGCGGTTGGGAGCGGCGGCGGCGGTTGGGAGCGGCGGCGGCGGTTGGGAGCGGCTCGTCTCACCGTGAGCAGGTGCACCAGGTCCATGTTGGCCTCGATGGGCGGCGGAGCACTCTGCAGGGCCACCAGCTCGCTGAAGGTGGCGTGCAGCTGCTGCAGCTTGAAGAGGTTGAGGCGCCCCTTGCCTAGCCAGTCGGGCAGCGCCGCGTGCAGCGCGATCAGGTCCTTGAGGTGCACGCCCAGGATGGGGATCTTGAAGCCCTTGCTCTCCGACATCGCTCGCCGGTAGTTGCAGTAGTTCCCCGTCGAGGCCAGCAGCTCGGTCATCTCGTACCAAACCTGCGCGAGCCGGCCAGGCCAGTCGAGGGATGGGTGGGTTTGTGGGTGGGTGGGTCGGCGGGTGGGTCGGTGAGTGGGTGAGTGGGCAGCCGAGATCGCAGCAAGCGAGCAGGGAAAACAGGAGGGCAGTTGTCGATAATTGTCAGGAAGCCAGCGATATTCCACAATTTAGGACGCACATTTTGGGCAATTTGAAGGTGTGGGGTAATCGTTAGAGTAATGGTGAAGTGGCTTTTTTCTTTGGATTGAGTGTGTCAACCTACGAGAGGGGCTGTAATTCAAACATTAATACATTTTTCCACCTCACTTGTCAACTGAGGAATTGCTCGTGAAATACCACTCCGACAAACTGGCATCATCGACTACACTGGGCTGGTGTTTCTCGTGCATTGTCAAACAACTGACATGATCCACAATTAAGCCGTAACATCTAAAACTACTTCCCCCCTCAATAGGTCACCAACAAATAATTTGGACGAGGATGAGTACGAAAAGTAATTTCGTCATCTTATTCTCCGCGTGGCTGATGTTGCTGTTGTCGGGGCGGTTCGAGCCGGACAATTGGGTCAGAGGAGAAGTGGAGTGGCGCGATCGCTGTGAAGAATCCAACCCATTAGCGCGGGACGTGTAAGGACACGCGCGTCCGAGACTCGGCCACCGGTCAAGCGAGCGACCGCGGTGATGCACAGGTCGCTACCGCGCTGTTCCCCTGAGCCAGACCCGACTGCCACTTATCCGCTCGCTCATTAAAAAAAATATATTAAAAAAATAAAAATTAAAAAAAATTTAATTGGCTCCCAGCAGGCTGAAGAAAATCCCTTCGTTAACCACCCCTTCTGACATTGCACCTTGGGATTGCGTGCGTTTATTAATTAAAAAAAAAATTCGTTAAAAAAAATCTCGTCGAGCGGAGCGTCAATTCCCCCCCCCCCCCCCCCCCCGGGGGAAATGGGCCGAGCACGTGTCCACGGCGCAAGCGGCGGCGGCGGCGGCGCTCGATGGGCAACGGCAGCGCCGGCAAACTTCTCAGAACAGCGCCGGCTCACTCGCCCGCTCACTCGCTCACTCACTCGCTCGCCGGCGAGGGTTTCGGAAACGGTTGCCGCTCCCACGGCCGCCCCCCTTGCGATGTCCCCCGACCCCCTCCCACCCACCCCCCCCCACCCCCTCCCACCCCCCCCTCCCACCCCCCGCACGGGACAAGCCACCGGCGAACGCGAATGGCGCTCGCCGGCACCTCGCGGAGATTTAAGTTCGACCGCCGGGGGGGGCGCGAGGAAGCCGAGGCCCCTCGGCGGTCGAGTCGGTGAACGGGGCCGGCGCGCCGGCAACGTGGGGGGGGGGGAGGTGCCAGCTACGCCGGCCGCACCTTGTTGACCTCGGGCGTCTGCAGGGTGTTCGTGTCCTTGAGGCGCGAGATGGCGCTGTGGCTGAGACCCCCCACCACCGCCATGAGCGTGTTGAAATTCTGCAGGTGCCGCAGTTTCTGAGGGATGTTTTATATTTTTTTTTTTTGGGGGGGGGGGGGGTAAGAGCGAGCGGGTGAGATAGGGAGAAGGGGATTGAGGGAGATAGGGAGAAAAAGGGGGAGAAGAGAGGGAGTGAGTGAGAGGGAGAGATCGGAAGAGAGGGGGAGATGGAGGGAGAGAAAGCGATTGGGAGAGTGAGAAAGAATGCTGGGAGAGAAGGTAATCGAAGGAGAGTGAGACAAGGAGGGGGAAAGAGAGATCAGAAGAGGTGGTGGAACAGAGACAGCAAAGGAGAGCGAGACAATGAGTGAGAGATGAAGAAATAGGGGAGAGGGAGAGAATGAAATACTAAGACAGAGAGGAAGAGGAGGGAGAATAGAAAGAAATATGGATAGTGAGAGAGAAACAGTGAGAGAGATAGAAAGGGGAAAGATGGGACCGAGTGAGAGAGAGAGGAAGAGAGAGAGAGGGAGAGGAAGAGAGAGAGAGAGAGGAAGAGTGAGAGAGATAGAAAGGGGAAAGATGGGACCGAGTGAGAGAGAGCGGAAGAGAGAGAGGGAGAGAGAGAGAGCATTGATTTTGTAAGCGAATTTGCGGTTGGCGGCTTCAACGTTAACATTTTCTGCCGTTTCCACGCCCCGGCAGCCCCCGGCAGCCGCACACACGCACACACACACACGCACACACACACGCACACACACACACCGCACGAACACACACACACACACACGCACACACACACAACAACAACAACAACAACCGCCATTCGCCACTAAGTGGCGGTGACGTCACCACGACGCTTGTGCCAGGCTATGTGCACCCTGAGGCCACGTGAAGTGTCGAACGCCCGCTGGCAGGAGGTCACGGGGCAGACCCAGGTGCCACGGGTCGACTGACTGAGATGACTGGCTGATGCACCACCTGTGCCCCCTACTGTGCCAACCTGCTGTGCTTTAGCCACCCGGCGCTCCGCTCGCTGTTGTGAGCGTCGCTCCTCCGCCCTCCGTTGTTGTTGGAGGGCGACTGCCTCCAACTGCCCAGTAGCATCCTTCACGAGCCTCCTCCACAGAGGCCGATCTTGACACCGCTGGTACCAGTCATCGGCAAGTCCACTCAGCTCCACGTCCTCCTGTACCACATCACTCCATCTCTTCTCTAGCCCGTGCCGCGCCCGCTTAGCCCCCTCAATCCGGCCAAACAAAAGCTGTTTCGGCATGCGGTGGCTGGGCATGCGGGCTACATGACCCAGCCATCGCAGCCTTGCCTGCCGGAGGAGCTCACCGATGGGACCCTGCCCAGATCTTTCAAGGATTTGTGAGCTCCTCACACAATCCAGTCTGGTTAAACCCAGGATGGATCGTAGGCAGGTCAGCCTAAATGTTTCTAACCGGCGAAGATGTTCCATTAGGGGGGTCCACGTTTCGCAAGCGTAGAGAAGGGAGGGAATGACCGTGGCCGAGAAGACCTGAAGCTTAGTGCGGAGCGACAGACCAGGTAGCTTCCACACAGCGTTACGCAACCGATGAAAAGATATTGCTGCTCGACTGATTCGGAGTGAGACCTCTGCTGTTAAACTGGAGCCAGTCATAAGCACACTGCCCAGGTATGGGAAACTCTCCACTCTCTCCACAACTGCCCCATCACCGATTGGGAGTTTTGGGGGTGGAGTGTCCGATGGTACAAAATACCCAGGCAGGTGCTTAGTTTTGGTGGGGCTGATGGTAAGGCCCCACCTCTTAGTGGCACGCTCCAGTCTCAGCAGCAGCGTCTCCAACTCCTCCTCTGACTGAGCAGCTATTACCAAGTCATCAGCATACATAACGTGGTTGAGCAATAGGGAGCCATCCCTTGACCGCACCCGGGCATCGATTAGCCTCCCATTATATCTGTACCATATGGAGATTCCCCCGGTACAGCTATTGAAGGCTTCACGAACTACGTGGTCAAAATAGATGTTAAATAATGTGGGAGCCAGAGGACATCCCTGTCGCACCCCAAGGTGTACAGGGAATGGCTCTGACTCCCGGCCACGTAGTTTTACCCGGGCCCGCTCACCATCATGAAGGTCCTTAATGATCGTGAGCAGAGGGTCTGGTACTCCAAAAGCACGAAGAACGACCCAGAGCCCAGGCCTACTGATGGTATCATAGGCCTTGACCAGGTCAATAAAGCAGAGATGTAGGTCTTGTTGGAATTCCCTACACCTCTGCTGTAGCAGACGGACAGAAAATATGGCATCTGTGCAGGACCGCCCTTTCCTGAAACCGCATTGGGGCTCCGCAAGCCTTTCCTCAGCGTGCCTGGCAAGGCGATGCTGAATAATCCTTGCCAGGACCTTTCCCGGCACACTGAGGAGTGAGATGCCCCTGTAGTTGTTACAGTCTGTGCGGTCCCCCTTCTTAAAAAGGGGGACCACCAGGGCATCCTTCCAATCCTGCGGAACCCGTCCAGTGGTCCAGACTGTTGTTATGATGTCATATAGGGCAGTCTGTGCACAAACGCCACCCTCCCTCAGCATTTCGCTTGGGAGATCATCTCTGCCCGCTGCCTTTCCTGGTCTCAGACTCCGGATCGCCTTCAATACTTCCTCAGCAGATGGCACCTCAGCCAGCCACTCACAGGGGGTGACTTCATCCAATATTTGAGGCACCGCAGCATCAGCAGGGTCATCCTCACTTTGTGCCACGATGTTTTCCTGGCTGAGGGATTTTCCCTCCCCCAGGACCTCACAGAAATGCTCAGCAAATCTGCGAACCTGTTCCTGGGGGTCGGAAATTGGATCACCGTTTTTTCCCCTAATGATGGTAATAGGTGTGGCGCTGCAGGTTACTTTTTTGATGGAGTTAAATAGCGATTTGTGATCACGGGCCACTGAGGCAGACTCCATCTCCTCAGCAACCCGCGACCACCACCCATCCTTGCAGCGCCTCACGGCTCTCCGAACCTCCGAGCGAAGGCTGCGGTAAGCCTCCTCATTCTCTGACGTGGGATTCTGTAGCCGATGACAGTGGGCCTGTCGCTTTTTCTCAACCATCCTGAACAACTCCTCTGTCATCCAGGGTGTCTGGGGAGGTCTGGACCGCGTACCCAAAGCAGCCATTGCAGCTGCATGAGTCACAGTCCTAAACCTCGCCCATTTACCCTCGACATCAGGAGGAGTCGGGGACGATGCCAATCCCAGCCGCAAGCGATGATGAAATTCTCGCTTGCAACTTTCATCAGATAACTGAGACCAGGCCACTTTAGGTTGGAATGGGGTCCTGGGTGTACACCCACCACCGGAGTGGAAGAATGGCAGGCGCATCTTACAGATGACTAGTCGATGGTCAGAGGGCAGATCAGCTCCACGGTAGGTCCTGGTGTCAAGGACATGGGCTCGCATTCGCTGGTCCGTCACTATGTAGTCCAGCAGATGTTCTTGCTTGGACCCGGCATGCATCCATGATGTTGTGTGGATGCGCCGATGCCGGAACAGCGTGTTGGTAATTACAAGCCCATGGGCTGCACAAAAATCTAGCAGCCTCCTACCGTTGTTATTGAGCTGATCTGGCCCATGCCCTCCAATCACTCCAGACCAGGTGCCAGTATCATGACCAACTCGGGCATTGAAGTCACCCAACATGATGACTCTATCCCGAGGGGCCACTTTAGCCAGCACCTGTGACAGGAGGTCATAGAAGGCATCTGCCTCATCGGCTTTGCCTGCATCCCTCCACGGATGTTCATCTTCGGTGGGGGCATAAGTAACCACGACCACCATTCCTCGCCTCCGGTTGATGGGAAGGCGAGCCCAAAGTAGCCTGGGGCTTACAGCTTCCCACACCTCACCGCCACGCTCCCACGCCCCCTTCATTCTTTTGTTCAAAAGAAGACCCACACCCTGTTGTTTGGCAGTCTGCTGCCCCGAGTAGAGGACTGTCCACCCCTCATGGTGGCAGGAGCCAGAGCCGGTCCACCGGACCTCCTGAATGCCGCATAGATCCAGGCGGTACCGGTCCAGCTCCCGACAGAGGAGTGGCAGCCTCTCCTCTGCAGTGAGCGTTCGAACATTCCACGTGGCCACCCGTAGTGGCTTTTCGTTGTTTCTGGAGTAGCCCCGAGGGTAGGTATTCAATCTCCTGGCTCCGCCAATTGGGGTTTGGCCAGGAGACGTCATAGACGCCTGGCCCCCCGGGGCCTCCGGCACAAGCTTAGTTGTTACATATTTCACTTTAATTCGTGGTTTTGTGGTAATTAATTGAAGGTGGAGGGGTTACCAGCCCCTCGCACCCGTCCAGAGCCCCCGTTTAGCCCCTGTGGTGGACACATATGCCATGCGGGGAGGAGCCAATCAAAATTGGAACTCCCCCCACAGCACTGTCCACGACAGAGTTGCCCGTCCGGCACCGCGAGGAGGTAGGGGGTTGTTTTGCCGGACACGCACGCACACACACGCACGCACCGCACGAACACACACACACACGCACCGCACGCACCGCACGAACACACGCACACACACACACGCGCACACACACACGCACACACACACCGCACGCGGCACACGCGCACACAACAACAACCGCCATTCGCCACGAAGTGGCGGTGACGTCACCACGACGCTTGTGCCAGGCCATGTGCACAAGCGTCAGGAGGAGGTCACGGGGCAGACCCAGGTGCCACGGGTCGACTGACTGAGATGACTGGCTGATGCACCACCTGTGCTCCCTACTGTGCCAACCTGCTGTGCTTTAGCCACCCGGCGCTCCGCTCGTTGTTGTGAGCGTCGCTCCTCCGCCCTCCGTTGTTGTTGGAGGGCGACTACCTCCAACTGCCCAGTAGCGTCCTTCACGAGCCTCCTCTACAGAGACCGATCTTGACACTGCTGGTACCAGTCATCGGCAAGTCCACTCAGCTCCACATCCTCCTGTACCACATCACTCCATCTCTTCTCTAGCCCGTGCTGCGCCCGCTTAGCCCCCTCAATCCGGCCAAACAAAAGCTGTTTCGGCATGCGGGTGCTGGGCATGCGGGCTACATGACCCAGCCAACGCAGCCTTGTCTGCCGGAGGAGCTCACCGATGGGATCTTGCCCAGATCTTTCAAGGATTTGTGAGAAGCTCACACAATCCAGCCTGGTTAAACCCAGGATGGATCGTAGGCAGGCTAGCCTAAATGTTTCTAACTGGCGAAGATGTTCCATTAGGGGGGTCCACGTTTCGCAAGCGTAGAGAAGGGAGGGAATGACCGTGGCCGAGAAGACCTGAAGCTTAGTGCGGAGCGACAGACCAGGTAGCTTCCACACAGCGTTACGCAACCGATGAAAAGATATTGCCGCTCGACTGATTCGGAGTGAGACCTCTGCTGTTAAACTGGAGCCGGTCATAAGCACACTGTCCAGGTATGGGAAATTCTCCACTCTCTCCACAACTGCCCCATCATCGATTGGGAGTTGTGGGGGTGGAGTGTCCGATGGTACAAAATACCCAGGCAGGTGCTTAGTTTTGGTGGGGCTGATGGTAAGGCCCCATCTCTTAGTGGCACGCTCCAGTCTCAGCAGCAGCGTCTCCAACTCCTCCTCTGAATGAGCAGCTATTATCAAATCATCAGCATACATAACGTAGTTGAGCAATAGGGAGCCATCCCTTGACCGCACCCGGGCATCGATCAGCCTCCCATTATATCTGTACCAAATGGAGATTCCCCTGGTACAGCTATTGAAGGCTCACGAACTACGTGGTCAAAATAGGGAATGGCTCTGACTCCCGGCCACGTAGTTTTACCCGGGCCCGCTCACCATCATGATGGTTCTTAATGATCGTGAGCAGGGCGTCAGGGACTCTAAAAGCACGAAGAACAATCCAGAGCCCAGGCCTACTGATGGTATCATAGGCCTTGACCAGGTCAATAAAGCAGAGATGTAGGTCTTGCTGGAATTCCCTACACCTCTGCTGTAGCAGACGGACAGAAAATATGGCATCTGTGCAGGACCGCCCTTTCATGAAACCGCATTGGGGCTCCGCAAGCCTCTCCTCAGCGTGCCTGGCAAGGCGATGTTGAATAATCCTTGCCAGGACCTTCCCCGCACACACCCACGCACACACACGCGCACACACACGCACACACACACACACGCACGCACACACACGCGCACACACACACACACGCGCACACACACACACACGCGCACACGCACACGCACACACACGCGCACACACGCGCACATGCACACACACGCGCACACGCACACACACACGCGCACACACACACACGCGCACACACACAGGCACACACATGCACACACACACACACACGGCACACACACACGCGCACACACACGCACACACACACACACGGCACACACACGCGCACACACACACGCGCACACACACACACGGCACACGCACACACACGCACACGCACACACACGCACACACACGGCACACACACACACACGGCACACACACACACACGGCACACATGCACCGCACGCGGCCTGGCCTGTTGCGCCACGGCGGCAGTTTCATCCGGAGATGTGAGAGATTCCGTGCGGCTGGGTGTGTCCGGGTTGTGGCCGGCGTGTGGCAGGCTGCGGCAGGGTTGTGGCCGAGGGGGTGCGGCAGGGTCACGGCTCACCTGGGCTACGTGGATGAACTTGCCGATGACCTGGGCGCGCTGCTGCGCCGTGGGCTTGCTCAGCACCATGAGCTGCACCCACTGGGACACGCCGTTGAAGAGGCTGATGGAGCGCTCCAGCGTGGCGTTGTCCACCAGGCAGCCCTTGAGCACGTAGCTCTGGTAATCCGTGAACTGGAGAAAGAAGCGAGAGGGTGAGTGAGTGGCTGAGTGTATGAGTGGGTAGGTGAGTGAGTAGCTGAGTGTATGAGTGGGTGAGTGAGTGCATGAGTGTATGAGTGGGTAGGTGAGTGTATGAGTGGGTGAGTGAGTGTATGAGTGATGAGTGAGTGTATGAGTGGGTAGGTGAGCGAGAGGGTGAGTGTATGAGTGGGTAGGTGAGTGTATGAGTGGGTGAGTGAGTGTATGAGTGGGTGAGGGAGTGTATGAGTGGGTGAGTGAGTGTATGATTGGGTAGGTGAGCGAGAAGGTGAGTGAGTGGGTGAGTGTATGAGTGGGTAGGTCAGTGTATGAGTGGGTGAGTGAGTGTATGAATGAGTAGGTAAGCGAGAGGGCGAGTGAGTGTGTGAGTGTATGAGTGGGTAGGTGAGTGTATGATGGGTGAGTGAGTGTATGAATGAGTAGGTGAACGAGAGGGTGAGTGAGTGGGTGAGTGTATGAGTGGGTAGGTGAGTGTATGAGTGATGAGTGAGTGTATGAATGAGTAGGTGAGCGAGAGGGTGAGTGTATGAGTGGGTAGGTGAGTGTATGAGTGGGTGAGTGAGTGTATGAATGAGTAGTTGAGCGAGAGGGTGAGTGAGTGGGTGAGTGTATGAGTGGGTAGGTGAGTGTATGAGTGGGTGAGTGAGTGTATGAGTGGGTAGGTGAGCGAGTGGGTGAGTGAGTGTATGAGTGGGTGAGTGAGTGTATGAGTGGGTAGGTGAGCGCGTGGGTGAGTGAGTGTATGAATGGGTGAGTGAGTGTATGAGTGGGTAGGTGAGCGAGTGAGTGGGTGAGTGTATGAGTGATGAGTGAGTGTATGAGTGGGTAGGTGAGCGAGAAGGTGAGTGAGTGGGTGAGTGTATGAGTGAGTGGGTGAGTGTATGAGTGGGTGAGTGAGTGTATGAATGAGTAGGTGAGCGAGAGGGTGAGTGAGTGGGTGAGTGTATGAGTGGGTAGGTGAGTGAGTGGCTGAGTGTATGAGTAGGTGAGTGAGTGTATGAGTGGGTAGGTGAGCGAGAGGGTGAGTGTATGAGTGGGTAGGTGAGCGAGAGGGTGAGTGAGTGGGTGAGTGTATGAGTGGGTAGGTGAGCGAGTGGCTGGGTGTATGAGTGGGTGAGTGAGTGTATGAATGAGTAGGTGAGCGAGAGGGTGAGTGAGTGGGTGAGTGTATGAGTGGGTAGGTGAGTGAGTGGCTGAGTGTATGAGTGGGTGAGTGAGTGTATGAGTGGGTAGGTGAGCGAGAGGGTGAGTGTATGAGTGGGTAGGTGAGCGAGAGGGTGAGTGAGTGTATGAGTGACTGAGTGTATGAGTGGGTGAGTGAGTGTATGAATGGTAGGTGAGTAAGTGGCTGAGTGTATGAGTGGGTAGGTGAGCGAGAGGGTGAGTGAGTGGGTGAGTGTATGAGTGGGTAGGTGAGTATATGAGTGGGTGAGTGAGTGTATGAGTGGGTGAGTGAGTGTATGAGTGGGTAGGTGAGCGAGTGGGTGAATGAGTGCATGAGTGGGTTAGTGAGTGTATGAGTGGGTGAGTGAGTGTATGAGTGGGTAGGTGAGCGAGTGAGTGGGTGAGTGTATGAGTGATGAGTGAGTGTATGAGTGGTTAGGTGAGCGAGAAGGTGAGTGAGTGAGTGGGTAGGTGAGCGAGAGGGTGAGTGAGTGTATGAGTGACTGAGTGTATGAGTGGGTGAGTGAGTGTATGAATGGTAGGTGAGTGAGTGGCTGAGTGTATGAGTGGGTAGGTGAGCGAGAGGGTGAGCGAGTGGGTGAGTGTATGAGTGGGTAGGTGAGTGTATGAGTGGGTGAGTGAGTGTATGAGTGGGTAGGTGAGTGTATGAGTGGGTGAGTGAGTGTATGAGTGGGTGAGTGAGTGTATGAGTGGGTAGGTGAGCGAGTGGGTGAGTGAGTGTATGAGTGGGTGAGTGAGTGTATGAGTGGGTGAGTGAGTGTATGAATGGGTAGGTGAGCGAGAGGGTGAGTGAGTGGGTGAGTGTATGAGTGGGTAGGTGAGCGAGAGGGTGAGCGAGTGGGTGAGTGTATGAGTGGGTAGGTGAGTGTATGAGTGGGTGAGTGAGTGTATGAGTGGGTAGGTGAGTGTATGAGTGGGTGAGTGAGTGTATGAGTGGGTGAGTGAGTGTATGAGTGGGTAGGTGAGCGAGTGGGTGAGTGAGTGTATGAGTGGGTGAGTGAGTGTATGAGTGGGTGAGTGAGTGTATGAATGGGTAGGTGAGCGAGAGGGTGAGTGAGCGGGTGAGTGTATGAGTGGGTAGGTGAGCGAGAGGGTTAGTGAGTGGGTGAGTGTATGAGTGGGTATGTGAGCGAGTGGGTGAGTAAGTGTATGAGTGGGTGAGTGAGTGTATGAATGGGTAGGTGAGCGAGAGGGTGAGTGAGTGGGTGAGTGTATGAGTGGGTAGGTGAGCGAGAGGATGAGTGGGTGAGTGAGTGTATGAGTGGGTAGTTGAGCGAGTGGGTGAGTGAGTGTATGAGTGGGTGAGTGAGTGTATGAGTGGGTGAGTGAGTGTATGAATGGGTAGGTGAGCGAGAGGGTGAGTGAGTGGGTGAGTGTATGAGTGGGTAGGTGAGTGTATGAGTGTATGAGTGAGTGTATGAACGGGTAGGTGAGCGAGAGGGTGAGTGAGTGGGTGAGTGTATGAGTGGGTAGGTGAGTGTATGAGTGGGTGAGTGAGTGTATGAGTGGGATGGTGAGTGAGTGGCTGAGTGTATGAGTGGGTAGGTGAGCGAGAGGGTGAGTGAGTGTGAGTGTATGAGTGGGTAGGTGAGTGTATGAGTGGGTGAGTGAGTGCATGAATGGGTAGGTGAGCGAGAGGGTGAGTGAGTATGTGAGTTTATGAGTAGATAGGTGAGTGTATGAGTGGGTAGGTGAGCGAGAGGGTGAGTGAGTGGGTGAGTGTATGAGTGGGTAGGTGAGCGAGTGAGTGGGTGAGTGTATGAGTGATGAGTGAGTGTATGAGTGGTTAGGTGAGCGAGAAGGTGAGTGAGTGGGTGAGTGTATGAGTGAGTGGGTGAGTGTATGAGTAGGTGAGTGAGTGTATGAATGAGTAGGTGAGCGAGAGGGGGAGTGAGTGGGTGAGTGTATGAGTGGGTAGGTGAGTGAGTGGCTGAGTGTATGAGTGGGTGAGTGAGTGTATGAGTGGGTAGGTGAGCGAGAAGGTGAGTGTATGAGTGGGTGAGTGAGTGTATGAGTGATGAGTGAGTGTATGAGTGGGTAGGTGAGCGAGAGGGTGAGTGTATGAGTGGGTGAGTGAGTGTATGAATGGGTAGGTGAGCGAGAGGGTGATTGAGTGGGTGAGTGTATGAGTGGGTAGGTGAGCGAGAGGGTGAGTGAGTGGGTGAGTGTATGAGTGGGTATGTGAGCGAGTGGGTGAGTAAGTGTATGAGTGGGTGAGTGAGTGTATGAATGGGTAGGTGAGCGAGAGGGTGAGTGAGTGGGTGAGTGTATGAGTGGGTAGGTGAGCGAGAGGGTGAGTGAGTGGGTGAGTGTATGAGTGGGTAGGTGAGCGAGTGGGTGAGTAAGTGTATGAGTGGGTGAGTGAGTGTATGAGTGGGTAGGTGAGCGAGTGGGTGAGTGTATGAATGGGTGAGTGAGTGTATGAGTGGGTGAGTGAGTGTATGAATGGGTAGGTGAGCGAGAGGGTGAGTGAGTGGGTGAGTGTATGAGTGGGTAGGTGAGTGTATGAGTGTATGAGTGAGTGTATGAACGGGTAGGTGAGTGAGAGGGTGAGTGAGTGGGTGAGTGTATGAGTGGGTAGGTGAGTGTATGAGTGGGTGAGTGAGTGTATGAGTGGGATGGTGAGTGAGTGGCTGAGTGTATGAGTGGGTAGGTGAGCGAGAGGGTGAGTGAGTGTGAGTGTATGAGTGGGTAGGTGAGTGTATGAGTGGGTGAGTGAGTGTATGAATGGGTAGGTGAGCGAGAGGGTGAGTGAGTATGTGAGTTTATGAGTAGATAGGTGAGTGTATGAGTGGGTAGGTGAGCGAGTGGGTGAGTGTATGAGTGATGAGTGAGTGTATGAGTGGTTAGGTGAGCGAGAAGGTGAGTGAGTGGGTGAGTGTATGAGTGAGTGGGTGAGTGTATGAGTAGGTGAGTGAGTGTATGAATGAGTAGGTGAGCGAGAGGGGGAGTGAGTGGGTGAGTGTATGAGTGGGTAGGTGAGTGAGTGGCTGAGTGTATGAGTAGGTGAGTGAGTGTATGAGTGGGTAGGTGAGCGAGAGGGTGAGTGGGTAGGTGAGCGAGAGGGTGAGTGAGTGGGTGAGTGTATGAGTGGGTAGGTGAGCGAGTGGCTGGGTGTATGAGTGGGTGAGTGAGTGTATGAATGAGTAGGTGAGCGAGAGGGTGAGTGAGTGGGTGAGTGTATGAGTGGGTAGGTGAGTGAGTGGCTGAGTGTATGAGTGGGTGAGTGAGTGTATGAGTGGGTAGGTGAGCGAGAGGGTGAGTGTATGAGTGGGTAGGTGAGCGAGAGGGTGAGTGAGTGTATGAGTGACTGAGTGTATGAGTGGGTGAGTGAGTGTATGAATGGTAGGTGAGTAAGTGGCTGAGTGTATGAGTGGGTAGGTGAGCGAGAGGGTGAGTGAGTGGGTGAGTGTATGAGTGGGTAGGTGAGTATATGAGTGGGTGAGTGAGTGTATGAGTGGGTGAGTGAGTGTATGAGTGGGTAGGTGAGCGAGTGGGTGAATGAGTGCATGAGTGGGTTAGTGAGTGTATGAGTGGGTGAGTGAGTGTATGAGTGGGTAGGTGAGCGAGTGAGTGGGTGAGTGTATGAGTGATGAGTGAGTGTATGAATGGTAGGTGAGTGAGTGGCTGAGTGTATGAGTGGGTAGGTGAGCGAGAGGGTGAGCGAGTGGGTGAGTGTATGAGTGGGTAGGTGAGTGTATGAGTGGGTGAGTGAGTGTATGAGTGGGTAGGTGAGTGTATGAGTGGGTGAGTGAGTGTATGAGTGGGTGAGTGAGTGTATGAGTGGG